TTATAATAATGCTATTGATATGTGGAGTGCAGGATGTATTGCAGCAGAATTAGTATTAGGAATTCCATTATTTCCAGGAAATAGTGAATTTAATCAATTATTTAAAATAATTGATATGTTAGGATTACCACCAAAAAATATATTAGAACAAGGATCAAAAACTTTATGTTATTTTAATAAACTTGGAAATGATGAAAATATTCGTTATATTATGAAACAACCATTTGAATATGAAATGGAAAATAGAATTAGATTAGAACCAAATAAAAAATATTTTAGATTTAAAACATTAAAAGAATTAATTATGAGAATTCCTTTAAAACTTGGAGGTGGAATGAAAGAACAAATTACTAATTTAACAGAAATTAGACTTTCTCTTATTCATTTTATTGAAGGTATGCTTAATTATGATCCAATGAAACGTTGGACTCCTTCTCAAGCTTTATGTCATCCTTTCTTAACTGGTCAACAATTTACTGGTTATTGGGAACCTCCTTTATCTGCATCTCAACCAAGACCACCTGAAGATGATATTTCTCCTGGAATATCAAGTGAAGAATTTACAAAGAAATGTTTTGGAAATGATATAATATTACATGGTTTAAATACTGCTGAATATTATGATATTTGTACATCTGCATTACAAATGGGTGAAGTCGTCAATATTACTTGTCCTAATCCTTTCCAATTACCTCCTATGACTCCTGACTCTTTTAGAAAAGCATTTGAAAATATTCACAAAAGAGAAAGAAGTGGAAGTGGTTCTCGTATTACAAGAAGAAGATCTTCATTATTACGAAATCAAGAAAATCTCTATCGTGCACAATTGAAACAACCCCACACCCCTCGTTCTAATGGTATCAGTCCAATGAAAATTGTTCAAGAAATACATGAAGGAGATGATTTCTTAGAAAATGGATTAACTACCGTAAGAAGAAGGTTTGACTCATGTAACGCTAGAATGAATAGAACACCACTTCAAGATTTTAGACTCCATCGTACTGAACAATTCAAAACTAATGACGTTAATTCTGTTAAATTAGAAGATCGTTTTAATGACCCCATTTTTAAAGAAACAGCTATTGTCCATGAACCTTCAAATGTTAATATCCCTATTGTCCCTGTTCCTATTAGAAGAAGTGATACCGGTCAAGACCCTTTCGAGTTTGCTCCTTTATTCATTTTCGGAGAACAATCTCATCAATAAATTACTTATTTGCATTCAAATAATTTAAATATTTCATATCTCTTTTATTCAATTATCGTTAAATCGAATTAAATTATATAAACTTATATCCGTTAAAGAATTAAATACTGACAATTATTATATTATAGTTGGTCCATATGATTATTATTTAATGATTTATTCATGGCTAAATAAAATATAATTGATACAATAACAATCAATAAAGTAATAATGTAATATGAAATATAAAACTGTTAAAAAAGGAATGAATTACCACCATGAGAACCATCCTTTCTTTTCTAAAGAAGGATATTCTAAATATTGTGAACAAGCATCAATCATTAAAGCTTTATCTCCTGTTTTTTCTTTCCATAAATTCTTTAATATTTCAACAACTAATGCATGAGTACAATTTAAAGTAACTTCTAATCTTTTTCTTTCTGAAGCTTCAACTGAAGGAATTAATTCATCAATAGTATCTATAAGCTCTCTTAGTTGAGTGTAACTTTCTTTTAATTTGTTTTGGTTAAATAATGAAAGACAATGATAATAATTCTTATAGCATTGCCAACTTGATATTTGCCAATTTTTAGGATTTGGTTTTTTCTTTTCCATATAAATTAATTTAGAATATTCTGTCATAACAATATCTAATTTTCCATTTGAGTCAATATGTTCATTTCCAAGAGAAAATTGACCTAAATGTTTTTCTATTTCATTAATGTTTTCAATAATTTCTGCAACAATTAACTTATATTTCTCTTCACTAGCATAATCTAATAACTCTTTATACATCATTCTATTAGCAATTTTTTT